CCCCCCCCCCTCGACCCCTACGACCTGCCCGGCCCCAGCTACTCCACCCCGGGCCTGGGCGCCTTCGCGGGACCCCCGGCACCGACCCCCGCCCGCGCCCCCCGAGCCCGCCCCCGGCGCAGCCGCGACGAGACGGTGAGGGGGGGACAGGGGGGACATGGGGGGGACATGGGGGGACATGGGGGGACATGGGTGGGGGGCGGGGGGACATGGGGGGGGGCTTGGGGACATGGGGAGGGGGCGTGGGGACATGGGGGAGGTGGCAGCTTGGCGACAGGAGCGGCGGGAGCTTGAGGGACACCACAGGTGGTGGCACCTCGGGGACAAGGAGGGGACGGGAGCTCGGGGACAGAAGCGGCAGGAGCAGGAGGGACACCACAAGTGGTGCCACCCTGGGGACACGGAGGGTGGTGGCACCTTGGGGACATCACAGGTGACAGGAGCAGGAGGGATACCACAAGTGGTGCCACCCCGGGGACACGGAGGGTGGTGGCACCTTGGGGACATCGCAGCTGGCGATGCCACCGCCGCCCTCCCCGGTGCCGAGACCGTCGGGTCCCGGCGCTTTGGGGACACGGAGGGTTTGGGATGCCGGGGGGGGGGCAGGGGGTCGGGGCCGGGGCCGGGGGGGACCCGGGGGCGCGGTGGCAGCGGGTGACGGTCCCGTCCCTGCCGCAGCTGACGCCGGAGGAGGAGGAGAAGCGCCGAGTGCGCCGAGAGAGGAACAAGTTGGCGGCGGCCAAATGTCGGAACCGGCGCCGGGAACTCACGGACCGGCTGCAGGCGGTGAGGGGGGACACGGGGGGACACGGGGGGGAACCGGGGGGGACACGGGGGTGGGGGGGGTGGCAATGTCCCCGCGCCCGGGGACACGGCAGGGGAGGGGTGGGTGTCCGTGTGAGGAGGGGCGTTGGGGACAGGGGTGTCCCCAGAGCAGAGGGATGCTGGAGGGGAGGAGGAGGAGGAGGAGGAGGAGGAGGATGGTGACAATGTCCTCGGAGCTGGGGACATCTCCGGGACGTGCAGAGCCCGGTCCCGAGGATGATGATGAGGATGATGAAGATGATGATGATGACGAGGATGTCCTCGGAGCTGGGGACATCTTGGGGACATGCAGCCCCTGGTCCCACGGAGCTGGGGACCCCACGTGGGGACAGTGGTGACACGGGGGCCAGGGACACTGGAGAAGAGGATGGTGATGAGGAGGAGGAGGAGGATGATGAGGGTGATCTCAGAACTGGGCACAACGGTGCCCCCAGGGACACTGGAAGGGGACAGTGACATGAGTGGGGACACCAGAGGGGACAGGCCAGTTTGCTCATGGCTGGTCAGGGTCGTTGGAGGGAGGTGACAACGTCCCCAGGGCTTGGGGACCTCAGAGGGGCACCCTGGGGGTGGTGGCACCGCAGGGGACCGAGGGTGTCCCCAGGAGCAGGGGACACTGGAGGGGACAGCAGGACACCCAGGGGTGCTGCAGGAGCCAGGGATGTCCCCAGGAGCAGGGGACAGGGCAGGGGACAGCAGGACACCCAGGGGTGCTGCAGGTGTCCCCAGTTGGACCCCCAGAGCTGTCCCCGGGCTTGGTGACACCAGAGGGGACACTCAGGGGTGTGGAGGAGCCAGGGATGTCCCCAGTGAGCCCTCAGGGCTGTCCCTGTGCTCGGTGACCCCAGAGGAGCCAGGGATGTCCCCAATGAGCCCCCAGCGCTGTCCCCGCGCTCGGTGACCCCCAAAAGCGCCCCCCCGTCCCCTTGCCCGGTGCCGTCCCTGCCCCATCCCTGCCCTGCCCTGACCTCGCCGTCCCCCCCCCGCAGGAGACGGACCAGCTGGAGGAGGAGAAGGCGGAGCTGGAGTCGGAGATCGCGGAGCTGCGCAAGGAGAAGGAGCGCCTGGAGTTCGTGCTGGTGGCCCACGCGCCCGCCTGCAAGGTCCCCTTCGAGGACGTGGGCGAGGTGAGCACCCCGGGCAAGGCGGGGGCCGCCGCCGCCTTCCTGCCCCCGGCGCCGTTCCAGGGCCCCCCGGGCCCCTTCCCGGGCTGCTGCCTCGCGCCGGGGGTCCCCGCGGGACCCCCTAACGCGGCCCCCCCCGCGTTTGTGTTCACCCACCCAGAGGGAGCCGCGTGCGGAGCCTCGTGCGGAGCCTCGCACCAGCGGAGCAGCGGCAGCGACCAGTCCTCGGACTCCTTGAACTCCCCCTCGCTCCTCGCGTTGTGAACCATGGGGGGGGGTCGCGCCCCCG